TTGCATACCAATTTTATTAACCATAATTGTAGGAGGCCATCAGTCAAGAAGCCAATAGCATCGATCCATTGAAAGTAAAAAAATAGAGAAGATACAAAGGGGTCAATTTTAAGTCCAATAATAACAGACAGCACAATTGCCAAATATAGAAATGACGACGAAAGCACAAACAGCAATAAAAAACGTATATTAATACCCTAAGACTGAGCAACATGAACCCAACTAAAAAACCGGGGGTGAACTAAGGTTAAATTAAACTGAAACATGTATACTACTGGACCGTGCGAGACCCTCATGGGAAGTCAAGGTCGTTAAAAACTCCCCTCGTCGTACTACTGGGCGGACGAACCAGGCTTACAGTCCACAACCATTAGTAGCAATAAAATGGTAGTACATTAATATGAAACGTGTATACTACTGGACGGATGCCCGAGGCTAACAGTCCACAACCATTGGTAGCGATACAATGGTAGTGCATTAATATAAAACATGTATACTACTGGACGGATGCCCGAGGCTAGCAGTACCCAACCATTAGTATCGATACAATGGTAGTACGTTAATATGAAACGTGTATGCTACTGGTTGTAAGCCGGAGGCTAACAATCTGCAACCATTAGTAGCAATACAATGGTAGTACATTAATATGAAACGCGTATACTACTGGACGGATGCCCTAGGCTAACAGTCCACAACCATTAGTAGCGATACAATGGTAGTGCATTAATATGAAACATTTCCATTCTCAATTTTATTTTATTTTTATACTACTGGACGTATGCCGGAGGCTAACAGTCCACAACCATTAGTAGCGATACAATGGTAGTGCATTAATATAAAACATGTATACTACTGGACGGATGCCCGAGGCTACCAGTCCACAACCATTGGTAGCGATACAATGGTAGTGCATAAATATGAAACGTGTATACTACTGGACGGATGCCCGAGGCTAACACTCCACAACCATTAGTAGCAATACAATGGTAGTGCATTAATATAAAACGTGTATACTACTGAACGGATGCCCGAGGCTAACAGCCCACAACCATTAGTAGCGATACAATGGTAGTGCATTAATATGAAACATGTATACTACTGGACGGATGCCCGAGGCTACCAGTCCACAACCATTGGTAGCGATACAATGGTAGTGCATAAATATGAAACGTGTATACTACTGGACGGATGCCCGAGGCTAACACTCCACAACCATTAGTAGCAATACAATGGTAGTGCATTAATATGAAACGTGTATACTACTGAACGGATGCCCGAATATGAAACATTTCTATTCTCAATTTTATTGTATTTTTATACTAGTGGACGTATTCCTGAGACTAACAGTCCACAACCATTAGTAGCGATACAATGGTAGTACATTAATATGAAACGTGTATACTACTGAACGGATGCCCGAAGCTAATGGCCAACAACCATTAGTATCGATACGATGGTAGTACATTAATATGAACCGTGTATACTACTGAACGGATGCCCGAGGATAACGATCAACAACCATTAGTATCGATACAATGGTAGTACATTAATATGAAACGTGTATACTACTGGACGGATGCCCGAGGCTAATAGTCCACAACCATTAGTAGCGATACAATGGTAGTACATTAATATGAAACGTGTATACTACTGGACGGATGCCCGAGGCTAACAGTCCACAACTATTAGTAGCGATACAATGGTAGTGCATTAATATGAAACGTGTATACTACTGAACGGATGTCCGAGGCTAATGGCCAACAACCATTAGTATCGATACAATGGTAGTACATTAATATGAACCGTGTATACTACAGAACGGATGCCCGAGGCTAACGGTCAACAACCATTAGTATCGATACAATGGTAGTACATTAATATGAAACGTGTATACTACTGGACGGATGCCCGAGGCTAACCGTCCACAACCATTAGTAGCGATACAATGGTAGTATATTAATATGAAACGTGTATACTACTAGACGGATGCCCAAAGCTAACAGTCCACAACCAATTGTATCGATCAAATGGTAGTGCATTAATATGAAACCTGTATACTACTGGACAGATGTACGAGACCACGTTGTCCTTTTGTCTCTTTTTAAAGAAACTACGCATGAGCGTTGATATTGCTTTATTATACAAATATTTTTATTGGCACAAACTCATTAACAATAAATGGTTAAGACCTATTGCATACATATAATTATATTAATTGACATGGTAGAATGAAAAGTTACATGATAACATATCATGATAGAATGAAAAGTTACATATTGATGTTTCATATTAGTTCACTATTTCTTATATTTAGACACTCTATTATGAAAGAGGAAGACAGTCTAAGTAGTAATGCTGAACTATTTTTAACCAATAGTCTAGAGATATTTTTTCATCAGTGGTAATGTTACGCTGTATTTTAAATATAACATTTATTTGATTTTCTAATATTTCTCGTTTTGAGGTAAATCTATTACATTGTAATAAGAAATGTTGTTCATCCTCAATTTCCCCATTTTTACAGACAGGACAGTATCTTTCCTCTCTAGGAATGTTAAGATGTCTTCCCCTTTCAATCATTAAAGAATGTGCACTTATGCGTATTTTGCATATTGCTACTCTATCATTTACATTGTTTAGTGAATCAACATATGATGGTCTTTGACCCATTTTGTAGACTTGACGAAAGAAACTGGGTTTAGAAGATTCCTGTATGTTTGCATTTTGATTTAGCAAGCACTGATCATAAATTCTTTGTTTTACTTGTCCCAAGTGCTGCTTTGTCAAACAACTTTTTTCTACAAGATATGAATATCCTAATTTTTGTAAAATGCATTTAGTTTTTTTGATCAGGGGTTTGAAAAGTTTAACCTTGTTGCACAGAAAATTTGATTTACAAGTGTATTTTCTGATGAAAGTATATGCTCTAAAAAATTTATGCTTGAAAATACAATTTTATTTTTGAGTGGAATTCGACCAAGCTCAGCACGATATATATGTAAAGCGCGATAACTTAAACTGTCACTTGAGATTTGTATCAATAAACGAGTTTAGACTATTGGAACGTGAAGAAATTTCAAGATAGTTTCTGTTATCGGAAAATCCACCTGTATAAAGACGAGATTGACATATTGTATAGACATTTGTCTGTTACTGTTATTGGAAACTCTGAAACACAAAATAATGAATAAACCTTGACAAAGACCTTTTTATAATAGGCCAAAACATTTGGTTGTCATAATCTGTCTTTTAACTTTTATTGTTTTGTTTTAAAGTTTTGTGTTTTGTGTTTATTTTTTTACGTTTTGTATTTTGTGCTAGGACATTTGGCCATTTTTTTCATTTTTAAAAGTACCAATATGTTGCCCCTTTCCATCAATGCTTTTTTTCAAATATATATTTCTTAAATGATAAATTATGAAATTTAGAGCTGTTGTTGTTTTATGGAACTACGAAATCTACTTTGGATTTAATGGCCAGTAAATATATATTGTTAGTGTAGTAGTTAAAAAAGAAACTATCACATAGACCAATCTCAACGCTTTTTTCTTGTACTTGTAGCATTTTAGATTTCCTTGACTGCTAAATACAGTGTATTCAGAAATAAGAACACATAGACTGGTTAGCTCGGATTCAAAATAAAGTGTTCTATTATGGTGACATGCCTTCTGCGGACTGATATCTTCAATTTTGTGACCTGTATATGATACGATTTGAGCGTGTTGGTCCTATGATAGCAATACACAGTTAGGATAAAAACTTGAAATTGACACTCATAATTTTTAACCACCCTCTTCCCCTTGCTTTCTAAACAATTAGGCTTACTGTTTGTGTCATGTATGCGCATATGTATGGAAACATCATATTCCATAGATTTGATTTCCAATAGTTAAAATTGTGAACTATAATCTCTTTTTGGTGTAAGCATGGCTACAATCTGCATTTATTTGGTACAAAATATTGCAAAAAGGGGGGGGGGGGTAGAAATGCAACAAATGTTTTTAAATTTGCTCCAAAGTATAATTTCAATCCATTTGAGAGATAGCTTTTCTGAAACCATTGAAATTTATCTATTAAGAGATTAAATAAAAAGCATATGCATCTCACCTCATTTTTCTATTAAATTGAATTGAAATGTTCGATCGTAACATTTGTTGGAAAACATTGCAATAATTTCTGGACCTATGGACGGTTCGAATGTGAAAGTACGGACTGTCGAACCGAAAATGGCCTATATAACATTCGAAAAACAATTTAGATATTCATATAAACCTACTTTGAAGGCTATATTATTCTTCAGCTATGTAAAAATTTATTTTATTACGCAATAACTTTCATATTTGAAAAATTCCGGGGCCGAAATGCGAAACCCAATTCCTATCTGTGTTTTGCCACCTATAGCAAAGCAGGGGACCTCTTGTCACATTTGCCATTGGTCGTTAAGCACCTCTTTATCAATTAATCAATCGTTTAGACTAGCTTCCTGCTTCCCTCTTGACTATCTCCGCTCCGTGTTTTTTGTTTTTGTTTGAAAAAAATTCCGTCGTTTATCTTTTATTGATATGTGCTATCGTATATGGTACCTGTGCTTATAACTAGATGTAAAGCATATATTTAAGAAATATGATCAAGCTGATAATGGCTGTTTTAAACATAAAATTTCATAATTACAGATTTATATGTTAATAATACCTCTGTTATTTCAATAAATGATGTACACTTTATTCTTATTACTTATTATTGAAAATCTTTGTTCCGACTTTTCGGTGGTCACACAACTGGAATTGATGGTTAAATTCGCTACTAGTGCCTTGGTCAATATTCTTCCTCCAATATACTACTTAATAATTGAATTATGTATTTCATTTTTAATATTCAATTTGTCTATGGCAGATTACAAACTGATAATAAACTTTCATATTTAAGACGGTCACGAGCACAGTTATTGTTTGCGTATACCACGCATTATTGATTCCTTTGATTAAACATAGTTGTGTAGAGTTAAAGTTTATCTACCTTATAATTTTGAGAACTTTAAAATTATTTTAAATTACATGACGTATGACTCAAAATCGACAAATAACCAGGAAATTCCCCAAAACAGGTCTGAGGAGACGACGATAGATGGCGACCTCGGAATCTGGGAGTAAAAATGATGGTAGGATTTTTTTCGTATTGAAATTGTCGTGAACACAAATGAAATGTGACCTAGTTATGATTTCAAATATCTTTAATAATTTAATCCATGAATGTAAAATTTAAATCTTCATAAATTAGTTGAGTATGTTAAAGTTTCAAACGGTGACCATGTGTTTAAAAACTATCATCGTTCGATAATGAAAACCTTTAAATTGTAAAAGCATATTGCCGATTGTAAGGATTGTACTATCTAGAGATAAGAGATGTCACAACTACCCAATACACAAATGATAAGCTTGTTCAAATCTACATGTCACAGCCCACACACTTCAATAATTAGCATACTATAGAGTAAACTTTAAACGAGCAATAAAATGTAAAAAAATATTAAGAGAGAAAACTTACAGCATAATTTGAGTTATTAACATAAAAAGAAAATCGATTATGAATGACCTCAAGCAATTACAACTACTGGACTTCAGATTCCTGGAACGGGACAGATAGGATGAGTGTGTTGAAATTAAAAATAGAGAGAAGCTGTCAAGGGGGGGGGGGGGGGGGGGGCGGGGGAGGGTTATTAAAAACCATAAGTCGAATAGAAATTTATTAAAACTCAGGTGCTTCATCAAGGGGACATATCCGTGGCCATTTTCTAAACAAAGGATCAACCATGTCATGAAGGTTAAACCCTCAGACTTACAGCATTAATTTGTTGTAAACACCCCAACTGATGGCCGAAAAACTTTTGAAGAGATGACTTCAACTTTACCATTTGAAACCTTCAAAAGAACATTAAACATTTTGATTTAAACCAGGTATGGCAATTTGATAAAAGATTCATATTTGACAAGAAGGTCCATTCTTTTTTTTCAGAATCATCACCTGACAGCGTGAAGAAAAAGATAATTCACCTGATAGATAGGTATAACTATAGTTTACAATAGTTTGCTGAAATTCAAATACTACCAAAATAGGGTCCAACAATTCAATGAACTTTTCAAAATAGATACCACACAGACAACCATGGGACTGGTGGATGAAGCGGGAAACGGGAATATTACTGGGCAATCACATACTAAAATATTACATTTCGTTATTTTAGTCAAGGTTCGCACAGAGATTAGTTTATCATACCACCGCATATTAACGCAGAGTGAGAGAGAGAGAGCGAGTAGGCATCATATCCTTGCCCTGTCTTAGTGTGAAAAATGATCTTTTCAATTGTGCATAATTGTGTTAACAGAATCAAGTAAACGCTTATCAAAGACAGAATCTATATAAAAATAAGGAGCTAGATATGGCATAATTGCCGATTAGACAACTATTCAACAGAGTCCAAATGACGTGTATGTAGGCAACTATCTACCCCAGTTCAGAATAAATAAATTAAGATATATTTTAATAGATTACCTAAGCCGTATTTGGCACAACTTTTTGGAATTTTTGGTCCTCAATGCTCTTCAACTTTGTACTTGTTTGGCTTTATAACTATTTTGATCTGAGCGTCACTGATGAGTCTTATGTAGACGAAACGCGCGTCTGGCGTATTAAATTAAAAATTTTATAAATTTCCTGTTACAAAACTTTGAATTTTTCGAAAAACTAATGATTTTCTTATCCCAGGAATAGATTAACTTAGCCGTATTTGGCACAACTTTTTGGAATTTTGGGTCCTCAGTGCACTTCAACTTTGTACTTGTTTGGCTGTATAACTATTTTGATCTGAGCGTCACTGATGAGTCTTATGTAGACGAAACGCGCGTCTGGCGTATTAAATTATAATCCTGGTAACTTTGATAACTATTAACACTTAAATGCCCATTGTATTAGATGGTATACGGAGCAGATGTAAATAACTTTCACATTAGTAATGAGTATTTGGTAAATTCAGAATGTATTATATTTTCCGCCCGAAGTTTATATCATATTTTCATTTAATGTATACATTTGTGTAGATTTAAGCAAACAACTCGACTGACACCATCTCAGACAGACAAAGCAAAGAGCCAGCAATTGCCAAGTGTAAAAAATAACTTGTTCAATGACATCTATGACTTTAATCATCCAAAAAGAGGTGTTGCCATTTTCATCATCAATTCCTCATTTCATGAACAACCAAAGCGTCCGTTTGCTGGTGAAGATAGTAAAAGGATGAAAGAACTGTTTGAATTGCTAGACTTTGATGTAGTATTGCTAGAAAATAAAAGAAGTGTTGATCTCTGGAAAAGTTTACAAGGTATGTTTATCCTCGACTGGGAACAAAAACTAAGCTGAGCTTACAAATCCATGCTCCCATGCTCTCATCCTGACGGTATGGATTTGACATTGTGTATGTTTTGCTAAGCCTCGTTGTCTTATGTTTTGCTATGTCTCATAGACCATGTTTTGCTATATTCCATTGTCTATGTTTTGCTAAGCCTCGCTGTCTATGTTTTGCTTTGTTTCATTGTCTATGCACCTGCTGGTTTTGTAATGTGATATAACAAAAAACATTCAAATGATAAAATAGAAAGTGTACTGTAGCAAAATGTTAGGAAGAATATGTGAAAAGTTTCAAGAAAACCCGGTACGTTTTTCGGAAGGAATTACGAATAAATGTATAAACGAATAAAAGTCCATATAATTTACTATTGAACTCTAAAAATTGAAAACAAAATAAACTGTTAATACAGCTATATCTCGTAATCTAATCACAACTTTAACAATTAAAGGCGCCGCCGATGACGACATTGGGAACATCACGTATAAGTCACGTTTCGTAAATTTTCCTTGCAAGCGAGACAAAACGCAAAAAGGAGTTGAATAATGCCATATAGTACTATACAGCATGTTAAGGTTCCTTGGGAGTCCAGTCATTGAATAAAACAGTTACAGATACCATGTATGGAATGAACGATCGGACACAATGATCCCTATATACCACATACTGAGGCTACTCCTCTAAGCGAGGAAAAATAATATCCATGTGGCAAGAATATCGTATTTCAATTTAAAAAAAAAAACGACATGATACTTCTTCAATAACAGGAAATCTCCGGTCAATTATTGGAAAACCACAATAACCAGTATATGTTTATTTGTGTTCGTATCAATACATTAAATAGAAGGTACACAATGGTACGAGGTACTGTACAAGCTTGGTACACTTTCAACAGAATCCAGTTAATTGTTTAGGAGGACTTGCGATTACAAATGCCCAATCCATATCGTCGAAGGTCAAATTCAATGACATGGGTGACATGTCTTCTTGTCGACTTGTGACAAGTACGAATACCCAGACAGCATGTCGGTCAAGAATAAAGCATGGTTCAAATTCATGTCATATCAAAGAGACATAAGCTGTCAAATGCATGTTCACCGATTGGACTCAAATCTTCATGTTTTATTTATATACTAAAACGAATATTCAAATTTATAGAAAGTCCAAAAGAAACAATTAACAATGCATGGACTTGTTATCTCAGATGGTGCCATTAAAACAAAATACATATATGGATTGGCGATATCTGGCCACAGCTTTTATTCACAATATAGATTTATATGATGTATATATATATATAGATAGATAGATAGATGTATATGTAGATAGATATATGGTTGGTTACCTGAAGATAATATGGCAACCTTGCAGATAGATAGATATATATGAAAATGTAAAGATGCACCGTGGGATACACTGGTGCTTTAAATTTAGAATGCACCGTGGGATACACAGGTGTAGTCTGTATTTTCCAAAAACCTAAAATGTCATAGTTAACATTAAGATTATATGCAGCGAATTCTGCCACATTGACAGAGGAAAACAGAGACTCTGTCAACCGCCATAAAAAGGGCGGTTCGCTGCAAAGCTGTGAACCAGATAACTATAGATAGATAGATAGATATTTTTATTTTAAAGTACAACTTGGTACATATATACATGTTAAATAATCTATATGATGTTTTGCGAACAACTGTTTTAAAACATATTTACCTACACAGATAAAAATACTAACCGAAACTACACCAAACCATAAGATAGTTGATTGTATTTGTATATCATAAAATATAGTATTATTATAGTATATCATCAAATATATAACTAACACGGAAAAGTGTAAGCACTGTCCTTTTTAGAATGAAACGCTCCATTGCACCTTTCAAGATGTTTAACCACAATTCATTTCTTAAGCATGTTAAGGGTGACAAGTGAAAACCATCCGGTTGAAAAAATTTTGATCTGATCGAATATCATGGTATTTTATGTAGCAACCCCCACAGCTAATTAAAAAGGCAGTAATATAATTGTATATTCTAATCTATAGCAACACAAGTCCATTGCTTTGCAATAACCTGGTCAAATTTGAGACCATGCTTACTTAAGAATTGATGAACTTCTGCATAATCCATCTGATCATGTTCTTTATCATATTGTGCAAAAAACCCACTCTAGAACTACCTATGTCATTACCTGCTACCTGTTTTATTAAGAAATATTGTGGATCCTCATAGTTTCATTGTTCTTAGTTAACTTTAAACATGCTTGGCAATCATGCCACCACAAAGATTCATTTCAGCGCCCTATACCTAGTTTAACCCCAGCTGGAGGATATCGGGCTGCTACAAAAACATGCTTACTATAGAGGATCCTACTATCCAAACATTATAGGATCTCCTACAATACTTGAAGAGCAATTAGCTTCATGAAAGTATTATGTTACATATATAATACAAATACAATTTAAAGCATAATTAATTGAGAGAAAAAAATGTAACCCTTGTATTAAGTTGTAAGCATTGGATCTCCGACCCTTTAATAATCCACGAAAAGCAAGTGAAAAGACAGCTTTAAACACACTTAATTCATACCAAGTTTAACCAACACAAGATAAGGAAAAATTTGGTAGACTTCAGCATGACTCTGGTTATTGGTAAACGTAAATTGTTGTTCTTAGGCCTGGAGCGTTTAATACCTTCTAAAAAACTGCCAAACCTCAAATTTTTGCGACACATCCTCATAATTGTTAATCTTACTAAAATAAAATTTCAAAACCCAGTAAATTAGTAATGTCACAATTTTTGTTGAGAGAGATACAAGTAAGCAATACCTTAACAATTCACAGAGAGGGATAGGCCATGTATTCATTAAAACATTAAGAGATCTGAACTCATGAAAAAAAAAGACTGTCCTCTCTGTTACATCTGTATGCACTGGGTGTTATGGAACTTACAATCAAACTGGTTACTAAAGGTCTGAAATAACAGTAATAAATTCCAGTGGGATTAGAGCAGGATTAACATCTGAAGTGATCCACCTAAAAACCAGAAATGGCTTCAGCCATTATGAAAAATTTGTACCAGATCAGTAATAATGAATGTCATACTAAACTCCGAAATATATAAATGAACTAAAATAAAAATTCATACAATGCTAACAAAGGCCAGAGGCTCCGGACTTGGGACAGACACTAAAATGCGGCGGGGTTAAACATGTTTTTTAAAATCTCAACCCTCCTCCTATATCTCTAGCCAATGAAGAAGAAACAAACACACAGCAATACGCACAGTAAAACTCAGTTTACGAAGTCTGAGTCCGATGTCAGAATAGGTAACAAAACAAACAAAACACAAATTGAAAATGACAATATTACATAAATTAACAAAGGACTACTAGCAGTTACTGACATTCCAGCTCCAGACCTCAATTTAACTGTTTGAAAGATAATGTCTTCATTATATGAAATATCTTGCACAATCCCTTCCCTTAGGGGTTTAGTATCATACCATCATCATAAAATATACGAGAGGAACATAACCCGTATCATACCAGCAACTGGTTTAAGAATAAATGTGTTTATGTCCGATGCAAAGACCCTGTAAGTGAAGCAATATTGAAGCCAAAATATGCCATTTTTTTCACTGGCAACAATATTCCTTCTTCATAAGTTTGCTTTAATGTTTTTGTAAGCTTTTGAGGAAGATGCCGACATTTTTGTGCTTTGTAAAGCATATTACCATAAAAGATTGGATGTGAAATACCTGAATGTATAAGATGTCTATGTTGAAGCGAATTTCTTATAACGTAATAAAACTGCTCATAAATACAAGGCAAGAATAACTGGATCAACTCGGGCAAAGACAAATTTAAAAGAATGACTATGAGGACCTGTATACTAGAATCCATGTAAAAAGAAACAAACATTGTATATCAGCAGTAACCACTTAACTTTTATTGGGGTATGTCCATTGTCCCATAAATGCATTATTTAGCAGGTCTCTGTCTTGGGTTTGAACTAGGTTGCCTAAATACTAAAGATTTTTGACTGGTTTGGAGCAGACTGCAAGACAAGCTGCCCCTTTTAATTTGTACTAGTTTTTGCGTATATTACATGTACATACATGTATAGATCCTGGCATGTATGCGTCTGACAATTTACACAAAACTCTGTAATAGTCTCATTTTAAAAGTTGTTTACAGGGTAAAACCATTTTGACCCCTATTCTCTTAAATATAAACAAAAACAAAAATTTCCCTACCTATCTCCCCACACCTGAGACTGGTGGATAGGGTTTGGGCACACAGAAATATTTTTAAGTCTGGCCTAATATAGTCATAAATATGTATTCACTTCTATAAATTTTGTCCTTTATATTTTGTGGTACTTTTATTGCAATATCTGTATTCATGCTGTACATGTATATCTGATTTGGAATATTCAGATTATTTATTAAGATAACTAATATTACATTAGTGTTCTCCATTACAAATCATATGTTACCAATCATATGATAATATACAAAACAACATTTCAAAGTTTCACATGTAATATATATATATATATATATATATATATATATAAACAAGTCTAAATTGAAAACAACGTTCAAACCTATGATTGCGTTGGATAAAAACCGCAATTTTTATACGTATGCTTGCAAAACAAATTTCTTGGTAGAGGGGTCTAAATACAGCACAAACAACATTTTCCAAAAGACCAAATGAGTGAAAAAGTATATTTTAACAAAACGCATTTGACTAGCAGGTCGAACAACTGATGTCAGCAGGGTTTAAGAACATCAGTTGATCGACCTGCTAGTCAAATGCGTTTTGTTAAAATATACTATATATATATATATATATTTCCAAATCATAGAAGTCAACACTGAGTGGGACACCACGGCGAGAAGGAGAAGAGAAAATTTTTGGATCCACCAACTCCACACTTTAGAACCTGATGGTCTTAACGAAAAAGATGAGAAAAGATACAGGAAAGATAAAGAATAATTTAGTACACAGCGTCGTCCTTTTTATCCTGTAATATTGGCCAATGGACGTTGCTAACTTCAACTACCAATTTTGTAAAAATCTTGAACTTCATCCAAATTATGTATTATTTTCAAGGCAGCTAAATTCAAGTGCAACATATACATTGAGCTGCAAAAGTTTCTTATCATCTACATCCGATTTCACCTGGATAGATGCACGCTTGATAAAGCTAGTTAGTCTAGCGAAATATTGCGTTTATTTTCATCATTTTGTAAATATTTTAAACATTCTTATATTTACATACTAAATAGTGTGTTAAAATTACGTTGTTAGGCAATCTATATATATATATATATATATATATATATAATATAATTGTAACCGTATTTTTAAGAATTGTTTCTTATTTCTAACGCATCTCTAATAAATTTGTATAAATAATACATTCGGTAATATTTTGTGGATTTAAGTTTAGAAACTGAGAAATAATCATTACACAAATCTTTTAAATCTAAACCATAAGATTGGAAAAAAGTTTGCCTTCTATCTTTATACATGTATATGTTGTATGTTAGAATCACATGTAGGGGTTTAACTTAAAGTAATATACTGCTTTTGTAAATCTGACTGATTACCTTGTACATTATCAACTGGATGCTGTGTTTATACATACTGATGCAGAGCTCTGTGGGTTTGCATAAATGGCTTCTGATGATTATCCAATGTATGTGACATAAAGGAGTTGAGTAAGTAGGCGTGATGAGTCGTGGAACCAGTCCAGTTTGGTGACCCATCTGCAAAAACTGTGTGTGTCATTGTTGTCTATGTCTCTGGTCCAATTGTTACAACCCTTGTGGTGGTGTTCTGTAGCCGAGCAAGGTCTTGTACTTTTACATTATACATTGCTTCAACCAATATAAGCAAAAACGAAAAATCATTGAATGCTGTTTCCTAGGAAAGAATAGAAAACATCGCTTTGCACGTACTTGAATTTACATTTACGTTTAGGTGTTGTTCTTTTCGTTTAGACATCAATCGTAAGGTAGAAGAGAATTGTGATTGTTTGGCATGCGTGATTAGTTCTCATGGAGCAGAAATACCAATTACATCCAGTAGCGATACCTCACCACAGCCAAGACATCATGTACTCTTTACAGCAGACGGAATTATTCCTACTGATAGAATTCTTCAGTTGTTTGACGACGATCATTGTCCAAATCTACAAGGAAAACCAAGAATGTTTTTCATTCAGGTATGGAACATATTTAACATGAAGTATATAAAGTATCAGCACTTATTTCATGATATCTAGACAAACACGAATATGTTTACTTTTCAAATCATAAAGGTTTTCTAAAGTACTTATTTTTCTAAACAAACTGTTCATCTTTTAAACTATTTTTGCAATTAGCAATAAATCCGAAGAAGATCTGGTTATATTTATTTTTTATTTTTCTAAAGGCTTGTAGGAGTGTTTTCAATACAGAAAATGATACTGAAAGCGAAATTGATGAAGGGTTTACTATAAACTTGGTACAAGAACAGGTTGGTGATGGTAGGATTCCTGTTAAAATAGTGAAAAAGAAAAGAACCTTCCTTAAAAAAGGACAAAAAGGACAAGAAACTTTGGCTGATACACATGGCCGATCTGAAGAGGAAGAAATCAACCTGTCTAACTGTAAACAAATCGCTCCTGTAGATTTCTGTTTTATCCCATGCTACGAGGATTACCTAGTTATGTTTTCAAGTTCCTCAGGTAAATTGTATTACCAGTGTTGAAAGTTTTATTGAAAAAAAATTTACATTATCTAAAAAAGCAAAATCAATAGAGCATTATCATCATGTTTAGGAACATGTATTACTGAAATGTAATCCATCATATAACTGATCATGCAAAGTTGACCTAGGATCTGTTTAGGTCGTTTTTGGTCAATACTGTCAGAGGTCAAAAGTGTTTCACCATTTGAAAATTCGCTATATGTTTCATATAAAAACACATTTTTGATAAAAATTCTACTTAAAAGATATTTCGTGTCCCAATTGAAAGAAATGCTTTCCATTAATTACAGAAATGTCTGCAGTTTATGCAATCATTATAAAACATATCTATGATTTATACTTTTTATATGAGTTCCATCAGGAAAAAATCATACATGACACTTAATTTCAATGTTTGTATATGAATAATGATTTCTCAGTGAAGAAATATCGTATAAATATTTCATAATTACCATAACAAACTATAAACATTTATGAGTTTAACAGTAAACATTTCATCAAAATGGGACCTCAGATAAGTTGTAATGTATTTAATCAAAGTACTGAAGTACTGAACATCGGATGACCGCAAGTTCTGATGGATGGTCACAAGCACTTGTCGCAGAAAAAAATCACATCTCTATACCTGAAAGTAAGGTTAAGGTAAACAGATACATTTTTTTCTGAGACAAGTTCCAGTGTGGATGATGAATAAATGACAGTGAATTCAACCTCACCGTACTAACTATTATATTGTAGTGATATAATCATTTGTTATAAGTATACTCTGGTTTGTTGTTATATATTATATTAATATTTGTATAACAGGTTTATATAATTTTCATCCATTTGTATATCATTCTATTCTACTATTCTAATGATAGGGCAGTGCAAGTGCATGGTAGACACTCTTCTGTAATAATTCGTTTTTCTAAAAGATTTGATTTGAGTAGGCATTCATATTTTCCCGCGTTTGTTGCAAAACATTGTAGAGATATTCTTTCGCATGCGTGAACACAAATTTTCGGTATTCTGGATTTGTTATTGATATATATATTTCTCACGACAAAACATTTTCATTTATCTATGTTCTTAAAAATCATTTTCATGAATATTTGTTGATAAAATGAATATATAACAAGCAATAAGGAATGTTATTTTGCACTTGATAATATCCGCGTAATTATACGAAATACGTTCGGTTATCAAAAACGCAAATCACGTGGGTAGAAAAGTCTGCGGCAACATAACACCGGAATGCCCTCACGGTCATCCGCGGTCATCAGCTGAAAAAATTAATGTAGAATATGTATACAGGGGAATTTTCAGAGAGATGAAACACTTTTTACTTAAGACTTCTAACCTTACAGCGTATTTACGCATCTCTGGCTTTCAAATGTTTATGTTGGAGCGTTCCTGGTGAAGGAAAACTAGAAATGCTTTTCGGACGCACGAAATTTATAAAGTGTTTCTTTTAAGCAGATTAGAACGTGTTCTATTTCTAATGATAAGTCATGGCTTTCTATCCAATCAAAATAAACGGTTGATAAAAAGATCAGCACAACACCATCAACATACCCACGCGCAGATGAAACAAAGAAAAGTAAGAAAATGTGAAAAAAACGAAGAAAAAAACATTTCTTTGCATAAATTATATGCGCCCAAAACGCTTTTCTGGATTAACCTTCATTAGAGCCAGATATTTGAAAGCCAATGGATGTATAGGTACCGAAGCATGTGAAAACTTTAGCTGGGGAGTTGGAACCTTAGTTACTTAAATATTTATAAATTTATACACGGACAATTTACATATAAAAGCACCCCTTCTTGTCCTGAGTGCATACTCGAAATCCCTAGTGCAATAGGGAGTTTTTGCCAGTGTTTAAACGGACCGTGTCTTATTTGAAAGGCCATGTTACCCCCATTTAGACATATCGTGTCATTTAAAGAATTTACATTAATTGATATTGAGGACTCCTATTTCTTCATTGTTTTTTATGAAAAGTTTACACATACATTTTCTTTAACCCATTCCGTGGTAGCGTGTTCGCCTAGAGTGCGGGAGGACTTGAATTCGAAACCCGACCGTGTCAAACCAAAGACTTTAAAACTAATGTCCATTAATTGATATTTGTTTTATAAATTCAATTAAATTCAAATAAGATCTTAACTGTCCTAATACTACAACTATATCGTGTGACAAAAAAACAAACTTTTAAAACAAAAACAACATCAATGTACAATTTTTTTGTTTCTTTCTTCTAAAGTTCAATAAAATACACTGGGCACACTACTGTCGAACTTCCATATGAAAGAGGAAGATGGCATTATAGAAGTAGTCCTTGCAAAATTGTCCTTTCAACGTTGACAGTCTGTTATTGATTTTTTTGTATTCGTTAGATACCCCAGTTGCTACATATAGCTATATATATATATAGTAACTTGGTCTGAATTTCTGAAATATGTCTATCACTCGTACTATGAACAACAAATTTATTATTTTGTAAAAAATATCTCCGTACTCCTAACAACAAAATTATTATATTTAGATTTACCTGTGTACGTTATTTTATTTAACGCCATTTTGTCCAAGGTTATAGTTGTCTTTTTGAGATTGTGTCATAGATCAAATTTATTCGTTCAGTGTATGTTTACCTGTTTTGTTAATATGTCTTTTTGATTGAGTTGAGCCATTTCAATTGAAATTTTATAGTGTGTCTTTCTATGTTGTAATGTTACTTTACTATTTCAGGTTAGGGTGAAGGTTGGCGCCTGTTAAAACGTTTAAACCCGCTGCACTTGTTTGCACCTGTCCTAAGTCAGGAACCTGTTTCAGTGGTTGTCGTTTGTTGATGTGGTTCTTAAGTGTTTCTCGTTTCTCGTTTTTTATATAGATTAGACCGTTGGTTTTCCCGTTTGAATTGTTTTACACTAGTCTTTTTGGGACCCTTTACAGCGTGCTGTTCGGTGTGAGCCAAGACTCCGTGTTGAAGACCGTACTTTGACCTATAATTGTTTACTTTTTACACATTGTGACTTGGATGGAGAGTTGTCTCATTGGCACTCATACCACATCTTCTTTTTTCTATCAGGAAGTAGAGTTTTGGTGTGCATGATTGACGTGCTTCTTGAGTTTGCTTTGCCATTCAATTTAGTTGTTATTGGTGCATGTTCCCTCGTTGTCGAAGTGGTACCATCCCTCTTAGTTGTTATTGGTGCATGCTCCGTCGTTGTCGAAGTGCTTCCATTACTGTTTCCTTCTACACAATTTTCAGTGGTACCGTCGGCGAAAGCCTCTCAAAGTTAAATTGGCAAAAGCTTATTAGACGAAACTACGGGTAGATGTATGAAAGTCAGAGTAGAATATCTTCGGTGTCAGTTGGAACTGTTGTTGTTGTTCTTGAAAAGCAGTTTTCAGAAACTGCATAATTTGTAAGGCTTGGTTTTGGCGCGACTGTTTCACCTTAAGGCGAGAGATTGGCATGATTATGTTATAATTAATCAACTGATTTGAATTAATTTAGCGTTATAATTATGAATAAGTTATAATGAATTTAAAAGGAAAAAACCGACTCAATTTCTCTCAAGAAAATTACCAAAACTATAGTTGATAAAATTATTTTTTTCCAGAGAAGATCGCATGGTCTGATTGCGGAAAAGGTGGATGGCTTACCTTCTGTTTATATGAAGTGTTTAAACATTTACTGGACACTGAGTATTCAGTCAGCTTACTTCATATTCTTACTGATGTTTGTGGGAAAATGGCAAACGAAATGGAAACCAGGACATCGTCGATACCTGCGTATGATAAATCTAAATCTGCAGCAACTATATATCACATGTTGACAAAAGATATCTTCTTAAAGCCAATGGTTCACCAACTCGTTCCATTACCCGGGCCTGTCTTAGAATCCTCGGTTTGATCTTTTATCTGGTTGTTTTGGTTGTCCTGTGCAATATAAATTTTTATTTGATTCATTAAAATCAATTTAGGAAAATTCATAAATTGTACATCATTAGATCATTTTTTGCGCGAGGCTGTAAATATTTTTTATTTTAAATTAGAATTCAAAGGAACCGGGTTTGTGATTAAGTTAAGTTTCTTGAATGATTTGAAACGATAGAAGAGACTTTCTACCACTCCATTTTAACTCAGAATGATAGTTATCTCATTGGTAATCATACCATATCTCCATATTTTTATACAAGATGTATAACGTTTATTTTTACCTCACCTTAATACAGACTTATACCACACCAGAAAAATATATTCAAATAGTGATGTACCAAATAAAAGATATCGATTTCTTTTTTTACATAAAAGCAACCGAAAGTCAATTTGCTGTTCGATTGTGTATGAAAAAATTTAGTCAAAATAGGAAAAACTGGAATAAAAATGATATTAATACTTAATTTTGGTGATATTTAAAAGTAAGAATATATTTTGATTTTTGATAATCGTTCTCATCTTCAGTACCATACAGGGATACATGTATGTTATTAATATTTGTACTGCTTATAGCTTTAACTTCCATGTGTTTTCTGGATTATTACAGCATTATTTACTTATTTATTTTTACGGTTTCATTGTCTCATTTTTGTTTTTATAAAATACACGATATGTTTTTCGTTATTTCAATTAATGTTGATGGCAGCTCTTTGAAAATTGCTAGTTTATCTATTGTTTTTACCCATTGTATAGACTCGTGTCTATTGTCTTAGACTTTTTGCTGTTGTTTATAGCGTTTGGAGTGCAAATGTAGATCTCATGAGGTAAGTTAAGAATAGTAATGGTTTGGCCATGTTTACTTTCAGTATCATACAGGGTTATATTTATGTTATTGATATTAGTACTGCATCTAGTGTTAACTGAATTATACAGCATTTTCTTATCTATGTAAAGGCAAAAATGTCTCAGTTTTTATATATAATTTTAACGAGGTGGTTTTTGCCATTTGGATGCTTTTGTGTTTTTGTAGGGTAAATAGTAATGATTGAATAATAAAACTACAATATCAAACAAAATAATTGTTTTGTATGAAGTTCGACTGTTTCTACTTATGAGCTGACTCGGTAAGATGAATAATAAGAAGATATGGTATGATAGTCAAAAGTGACAACCATCCACAAAAGATGTAAACAATTACCTTTCATCGTATTGCCTTTGACCAGAGGGTCAAAGAGCTTCCTTCATCATATTGGTACTAATCACAAAAATAGATAACAAAATGACAAAAGACACAAAGCGCCGATCGAAGAGTACTCATTGTTGCTGAAAGCTAGTTCAAAATCTAATTTCAACAAATCAATGGGCAATATTTTCCAGGTGCATATAATATAGGTGCATATAATCTATGTTTATCGTTTTAATAAAAAGAAAGATGTTGCTTGATTTTATGTATTTATAAAGATAAAACAAATAACGGCATATAATGCTAGCTTCTTTTCATTATGCAAAAAAAGCTCTTATATAAAGTCAGCCTCATATGAGTAAAGGAACTAGTCGGCCAGAAGAGGCGCACAGTTGGTTCCCATGGGAATGCCGATTGTTTGTTGAAAACACGTCCTCCAAACGTAACAAATAAAATCAAACATCTTGAAAATGTCCGTTTCAGAGAATTTTCTGTTTGAATCAGAGTGTTTTTTTTTACGAAAAGTGAAATAACAAAAATACCGAACTCCAAGGAAAATTCAAATCAAAAACCGAATGGAAAACAACTGTCATATTCCTGACTTGGTACAGGTATTTCCTTAAGTAGAAAATGGTAGATTAAACCTGGTTTTATAACTAGCTAAACCTTTCACTTGCATGACAGTCGCATAAAATTCCATTATATTGACAACAATGTGTGAGCAAACAAACAGACATAATAGGTAAAAATGTCAAAAATAGGGGCACAGCAGTCAACATGGTGTTATAATCTTAATCACTATAAAACAAACAAATATCTGAACAAAGAAAAACAAAATTGCATATAGACAAAGCACATAAGCAAAAATGAAAGACAAGAATACCAAAAATGAACATAGCACAATAACACAATGGTGGGATGTATAAGTACCGAGCCACGCCAAAAAGATATTACAAATATAGACTAAACAGTAAATGTCAATAATTTACAAAGACAAATAAAAGAACACGATTTAACACGTAATTAAGATGATAAACTACTTCAGTATCTAGAATCTATACTTCAAGACCATCATAATTGATACGGAATAACAAGGTCTTGGTTTCTTCCAATGAACTTTTTTTGAAAAAGGACGAGACGTTCTTTGACATAACCCTGATTCATCAACTTTCTGCTCAAACACTGGTGACGTTTTATAAAGTCTGAGTAGAGCTGCAAGCTCTTGAATACCGAATGAGTTGGGAAATGTATATCCAATATGCAGGTGATGTTGGTATATTGCTACTAAGGTGGGGGAAATTGATAATTTCAAAATTAAAATCGTTTCGTTTGTCAAAGATTCTGGTACTTATTTCAAATTCGAGGTATATTCAATACAAACAAGGTAAGTCCTCAAATTTGCTGTTCAATGTAATGTTCATTGAAGCCATGAAGGACTTATGATTCGCCAAAATCTTATTCTTGTCAAATGGTATGTTTTTTTTTTTGTGTGGGATTACCTGAGTGTTCATTTATTCCTAATTCTTTTACAAGACACTCGTAGTAGTACGATTTACACACAAAGACAATATTATTTGAAGCTTTGTCCGCAGGAACTACAACATATTTATCGTGAAGAGATGATAGACATTTCACAGCTTCTTTGTCTCTGAAAACGGACTTTGGTCGATCATTCACACAGTTTTTCAACTTATAATTTCGATGTTTTATCAGAGACCTGATTGTTTTGACCCTATCTGACAAAGTGTCCAGTTCAACTTCTCGTTTAGCCCATGGTCTGGCGTAGTCCTCAATGGAATCCATAATTATTCAGAAGTTATGGTTCCAATTGATATGTTGGGGTTCTATGAACTTAGGACCATGAGATATCACCTTTCGGAGATGTTCATGTTGAATTATGTTTAGATCTCCAGTTATAACATGGCCAGAGGGGCTGTAAATATAAGGCGAGTTGGAACAGTCACATGGTTTTTTAGATATTCTTCTAAATCAAGGTCCTGCAATGCTTGCTTATAGTTAAATATTTTAGGTGCTATGGTTTTGGTGCAACTGTAGGATACAATAGGAACAGACTGATTTTAAAAATAAAGTGGAATTTTAGATGTTACCTCCTTGTGATGAAGAACGTTGCTGATGTTGATTACATCAATTCCTTTATTAAAAAACTGAATTGGAAGGAATTTCCTATTTTCATCATTTAAAGGTTCCGATTTTACTGGTTTAAAAAGACGGAAAAGAGCTACATCACAAATTATACTGAGAAGTCTGTATATTGGAGAAAATGTATTTATGCATCCCTTGTCATGTGCATAATCTCTCAAACATTTTAGAAAATTAACAGGCAGTGAAAAAAGAATAGTTCAAATGTAATGTAACCCTAGCGGATGATGAAGATGTGAAAGAAGGTCATCAAAGTTCCCAGAGGGCAATCTAGATTTGGAAGACTTTTTTAACATTGGGCTGATGGTAATGTTTTTGTCCATGACTACGCTTGTGTCTTAAAGTAATATTAAATAAGCTCATTACATTTACATCACTGCAGGCTGGACTTGACAAATTTCCTACTCCTTTGATGTAATCATTTCAATCATATGGCATTGCAGAACATAGTTCCCTTATCCAGAAGTTTTCTCTATCTTTTCGGAAAGGAGTACTTAGTATAGGGCTATTGGTGTGGTACGATTTATCCGTCCCTACGACAAGATACTTGTATCTACGTTGGCCGTTCATGACTTGTTTCTTTATTCATATGAGGCTGACTTGATACACAAGCTTCTTATAAATAACGAAAAGATGCTAGCATTATCCTTCAACTTCACTTTCTGTTATATAGATGATGTCCTCTCACTAAATAATTCAAAGTTTATTGACTATATTGGACACATCTTGAAATATAGGATACAACAGATACAGTTAAGTCTGCCTCATATAGTGACTTACATCTAGTTATTGACAATGAGGGTCGGTTGAGAATAAAACTTTACGACAAACAGATGATTTCAGCTTCCCAATTGTGAACTTTCCATTTCTATGTAGCAACATTCAAGCAGCGCCTGCATATAGAGTATATGTCTCCCAGTTGATACGATATTCCAGGGCTTACATTTTCTATCATGATTTCCTTGATAAAGGGTTGCTGATCACGAGGAAGCTGTTAAACCAAGAGTTCCAAGTAGTGAAGTTGAAATCATCCCTTCATCCCTTACAAAAGAGGAAATCCTGGATAATCATAGGTCTGTTATATGTTCTTTTGGAATTTCAACCGAAGATGAAGAATTGGATCTTCCATCACTGTATTGGATACCTAAACTACATAAGTGTCCTTAAAAACAACGTTATATTGCTGGGTCTTCCAAGGGCTGCTCCTGCTTTGTTTCATAAAAATAATTGCCAACGTAGATACAAGTATCTTGTCTTAGGGAGGGATTTTGAAAAAAATCACTGATTCAAACAAAAAATTCTCTGAAACTGACATTATCAAGATGCTTAATTTCTTGATTGACAACATATTTGTTACGTTTGGAGGACGTGTTTTCAACAAACAATCGGCATTCCCATAGGAACCAAATCTGCCCCTCTTCTTGACAACTTTTTCCTTTATTCATATGAGACTGACTTCATACAGAAACTTCTTAGGAAGAAAGAAAAAGAAGTTAGCAGTATCATTTAACTTTATTTTCCGCTATATATATATAGATGATGTTCTCTCACTAAATAATTCAAAATTTGGTGACTATGTTGATGATTTCAGCTTCCCAATTGTGAACATTCCATTTCTATGTAGCAACATTCCATCAGTGCCTGCATACGGAGTATATATCTCCCAGTTGATACGATATTCCAGGGCTTGTATTTCCTATCATGACTTCCTTGATAGAGGGTTGCTGCTCACAAGGAAGCTATTAAACCGATAGTTCTAAGTGGTGAGGTTGAAATCATCCCTTCGTCGGACGCCATCACGAGTTGGTTGTCCGTTCTGGAATATCCGTTTCACCGATGATAGCGGATATGTTCCAAATGTCGTAACTACAATCCCGTCCCCTTTTCCCCGAATGTGACCTACGGAGTTGGACTTGTTACCGGGTTTGTACTAACATTAGCAACACGACGAGTGCCTCATGTGGAGCAGGATCTGCTTATCCTTCCGGAGCACCTGAGATCACCCCCAGTTTTTGGTGGGGTCCATGTTGCTCAGTCTTTAGTTTTCTATGTTGTGTTTTGTGCGCTGTTGTTTGTCTGTTTGTCTTTTTCTTTTTTAGCCATGACGTTGTCCGTTTATTTTCTACTTGTGATACATTTTCTACTTATGATACAATTGAGAATGGAAATGGGGAATATGTCAAAGCGACAACAACCCGACCAAAGAGCAGACAACAGCCGAAGGCCACCAATGGGTCTTCAATGCAGCCCGGAGGTGGTTCTCAGCTGGCCCCTAAATAAAATTGTGTGCTAGTTCAGTGAAAATGGACGTCACACTAAACTCCAAAACATGTAAATGAACTAAAATTGAAAAACATACTAGACTAACAAAGGCCAGAGACTCCTGACTTGGGACAGGCGCAAACATGCGGCGGGGTTAAACATGTTTTGTGAGATCGCAACCCTCCCCCTACACCTCTAGCCAATGTAGAATAAAGAAACAGATAGCAATACGCACAGTAAAACTCAGTTTAAAAGAAGTCCGAGTCCGATGAGCAAAATGACAATGATACATAAATGAACAAAGGACTACTAGCAGTTACTGACATGCCAGCTCCAGACCTCAAATAAACTGATTGAAAGATTATGTCTTCATCATATGAAAATCAAGTACAATACCTCCCGTTAGGGGTTTAGTATCATACCATCATAAAATATATGAGAAGAACATAACCCGTATCATGCCAACAACTGGTTTTAGAATAAATGTGTTTATTTCCGATGCAAAAACCCCATGAGTGAATCAATATTAATACCAAAATATGCAATCCTTAATGACTTGACAACAGTATCGTAACTATATCCTTTCCGAATAAGTCTGTTTAAAGGTTTGGTTAGCTTTCTATGTGAATGCCGACATTTTTGTGCTTTGTAAAGAATATTACCATAAAATAGTGGATGTGAAATACCTGAACGTATTAGATGTTTGCATGTTGATTTATATTTACGAATGATGTCCTTGTATCGATTATAAAATTTAGTAAATGTTTTGACTAGTTTGTGATATCGAAAACCCTGGTGTAATAATTTTTCAGTAATACAGAGATTTCTTTCGTTGAAATCAAATACGTTGTTACATACACGAGCGAATCGAACAAGTTGAGATATATAAACACCATAAGATGGCGACAAGGGAACGTCACCATCTAAAAATGGATAATTAATATTAGGAAATGAAAAATCATCTCTTTTATCATAAATTTTGGTATTAAGCTTCCCGTTTAAGATAAAGATATCAAGATCCAGGAAAGGGCAGTCTTCATTGTTAGTATTAGCTTTATTTAAAGTCAGTTCGGCAGGATAAATCTCTTTAGTGTACATACTGAAGTCGTCATTATTGAGAGCCAATATATCATCTAAATATCTAAAAGTGATTTCCAGAAGTAAATTTTTGAATCAGATGTTGTTTCGATGGGTCTTTGCTGATTTTAGTCATAAATTGTAACTCATAACAATACAGAAACAGGTCCACAATAAGTGGTGCACAGTTAGTCCCCATGGGAATTCCGATAACCTGACAATATACGGAATCTCCATAGCGAACAAAAATGTTATCTAGTAAAAATTCAAGGGCAGTTATAGTATCAAAGCAGGTCCGATTGACATAGTTCTTTTGTTTGTTGTTACTAAAAAATGACCTAAAAGAGTTTGAACATATATATTCGCATTCCGACCTTTTAAATGCCCATTTATCAGGTGTGTGATTTTTTTCTTATGAGGCTACGTGGTATATAGGGTAGAAAAATCAAAACTTTGAACAGATTCGAAATCACCAATATAAGCATGCAATTTATCAAGTACTTCCAACGAACTTTTGACACTCCAAAAGTAATTAATTCCACTATTTTCATGGCCTTATTTGAACAATTTATTACCAGGTTTTTGATTGTACCAAGTGTACTAGTAAGTGAGTTTGAATGTCCCTTTGGTATCTTTCGCCTCTCTTTTTCGAAAATTTTACGGACGTCACCATGAGTTGGTTGACTGTTATGGAATTTGACAACCGCTCGGTTACACGTTGTGATCTTTACAGGTATTCTAATCTATTAATATTCAAGAAAGCAATAAAAGTCCAATTACGTGCATTTTTCATTTATCAGATTTAGATTATTATTTCGTAGGTAGTTTATCTACATTGATATATATAGTCTACTTTCTGAAATAAGTAATTTGAAGGAGTGCATAACAAAATCACAAACTGAAAGTAACAAATTTCCTGCTACTAAATATTTGGGAAATTGAAAATTACTGTACTAAATTCAATGGTTTAAATATTATTCATCGAGTATTTATATATAGCCTGTACACGGTATGTCACGGTGGAATGGTTCTTTTCAACTGTAGGTGTATGTTTACTTAACTTTAAATATTTAGTCTGCTAAAAGAAGAATAAAAACACCCGGAAATTGAAGAGAAATATCACGAAGTCATGTCAACTGATTCTTCAGATTCAGACGACATCGAAGATACCGAATTTACAGGTTTTTATTTATTTTTTCTATTTGTGTAAAATACCTTCAGTCGTAGGTCAAACGTGTGTTTCAACTGTCACTAATTCCCTTATCATTTTATATGAAAACAAATGTTTTAAAAACATTGGCAAAACGCAATTTGAGGTCAGATTTTGATGAAATTTGTAATGGTAAACTCCCAAATGTGTACAGTTTTCTATGGTTATTAAGAATTATTTTTATGACAGTCATTACTGTAAAATCATTATTTGCATACAAATATTAGAATTAATTTTTTTTTCCTATATAGTCTTATGATTTTTTCGTGCAGAAATCATATTTGTCATTAAATAGTGATTCCCGTAAAAATATAAATCATAAATTTATTTCATACTTATTGCAAGAAATTGCCCACATTTTTGTATTTAATGGGGGGGGGGGGGGGGGTCAAAAATGTGTGTCAAATCAAATAATAAAATAATAGGTGAATTTTCGATAGGTGAAACACTTTTGACCTAGGAGTAGATGTGCCTTTGGAAATTTACAATGCCTTCACATTGGTGAAGGATGTTCGCCACCGCCAATGATTATATCTGACTATATCTGTAAATGCAATCCTGCTAAATTAAATGCAGACATAAAGTTATCGTTGTGTTCATGCTTGTGTACGTCCGAATCGTCAGTCTGATGCGCTCTTTCGTACGTTCATTAGTATATTCGTTTTTCAACAATTTGCTCTTTCTGCCCTACGGATAAGGATTTCAGTGAAATTATCAGATCGTCTTTAGATCAAATGGCGTTCGTATAGTTATGTTAGATGAACTTACCCAAATGGCCACTGTAGCTATTCTCATCCGTGTGAGATGCATGGTGTCCGTCGTCCGTCAACTTTTACAACAATTTTCTACTCTGAGTCTACCTGGTTAATTATAACCAAACTTGGCCACAGTCATTCTTTGAGTATTTAGTTTGAAAATTGTGTCTGATGAACCCGTCGGTCAACCAACATGACCGCCATGGTTAGCAATGAACCATTTGGGTACACATATTGCTATATCTTCTATACTATTAAATGAGAAGACCTCATTTTGTGTGTTGCTTCTCTTCCTTCCACAATAAATTAATCATCATGCCTCTGTGTCCTATAGGTACCATGCATAGTCGCATTTGTCATCCTCGCTTATGATAATTCAGTTTGGGTTATTTTGGGAGGAAAACGAAAATAAAGGCATCCGGATATTGTTTCCGTCATTGGACAGACTTTTAAGTCATAGACAAGACTTCCGTTTAGGACTGTTTTAAAATTACACATAAGTACTTGGGGATAGGAAAATTATTGTCGCATATTTCTGTATACTATGATCATACATATACTATAAATAAAGTGTATTTGCCATTTACTATCAATTCCAAGTTTACTATCAGTGGCGGATCCAGACATTGTCATAAGGGGCGGTCCACTGACTGCCTAAGAGGGGGCCCGCTCCAGTCATGCTTCAGTAATTCCCAAAATAATCAAGCAAATGTTTCCCACACAAGGGGGGGGGGGGGGGGGGCTGGAAAACCCTCTAAATCTAATATCTAAATAGTCTATCCACGGCATTCTTCAATATATACAAAGATTTGGTTTTGAAGTTTGGTTGTACCTAAAGAAGACTTCTTACAAACAGGATATATCACATCCTAATTTTTACAGTGATGTTGTTAACCGAGTCCGTAAAATTAGATATGATCCGGGTAAACTTATCGATCCTTTAAATAAACTTATCAAAAAAGGTTACCAATTCAACGCTGTGAATAGATCTTTAAATATTGTTTTTATCGGTATAAATATTGATTTTGTTATCAGTAAATTAAAACCAAACTAAGCATTATTGTTCTACTCATATGTACATTTACGGTTCTACAAACTGTGGATATCTATATTATGGCATTACATAAGGTCATGTTTTTCTCTGACTTTTAAATGACGTCTTAACACTAAATCCATTAGATGCTGGATGTGTACTGATTGATGTTTTAGTTTTAGAAATATGATTTTTTATAAGTTGTTATTGGCTATGAACTAGCTTTCAGTAACTGAGATTACTCTCAGATCTGTACGTTGTGTCTTTTTATGTTTTTGTTAGGATGTTTATGTGCTTTGTATCGAGCTGATGAGTTAAGCCCTTTTCCAATGATTTTTATAGTTGGTTCTTATGTCGTACTGTTACATCACTGTCTAAGGATATGAGGTGGGGATTGGCGCCTGCAAACATGTTTAACCCCGCAACATTTTGGATATGCCTGTCCTAATTCAGGAGCCTCTAATTAAGTGGTTGTCGTTTGTTTCTGTATTACATTTTAAATAGATTTACATTTTTCATTTCGGGTCCTTTTATAGCTAACTATGCAGTATGGGGTTTGTTCATTGTTGAAAGCCGTACGATGACCTATAGCTGCTAACTTCTATGGCATTTGCTCTCTGGTAGAGCATTGTCTTGTTGGCAGTCATACCACATCTTCTTATTTTTATATATGCATATACATATTTATTAGCTGGAATTGGCCTTGAAATTCAGTAACTGCGAGTAATATTAGATCGGTACCTTGTTGTTTTGTTTTCTTATTTGTGGTTTGGTTATGTGCTTAGTGCCGATCTGATGAGTCAATCCTTTTCAAAATGATTTTAATAGTTAGTTCTAATGCCGTGCTGTTACACCAATGTCCAGGGTTTGGAAATCATTGAGCGTTCACAAACAGGTTGAACTTCGCTACATTCTGTATGTGCCGGTCCCAAGTCAGGTGCCTGAAATGCAGTGATTGTCGTTTCTGTCTGCCATATTGGTTTTTTCGATTGATGTTTTGACATAAATCAGAATGTTTGTAATTGTTTCGCGTTTTGTCGTGACGGGGGCTTTTTTATAGTTTACTTTTCGGTATGGTTTTTCATGACTGTTTACCTTATTCTGAATACTAAACATGTTTTGCGCACAAACGACGCACAATTTCCTTGTAGTTCACTGACAATTCAGGGCTTTACATTGTCTGTGTTTTTTTCGAGAGCAACATTTAAAACGTCCGGGTTTTTAAACAAATGGTCCGGATTTTTCAAAGAAAATGTGAACAAGAAAGAAGGCATTCCTGGGCTTAAAAACTAACCTTTTCTCGTTTGTAACTGTAAGTTAGCGAAGGGCAATATTATATATTCCTAATAAGTAACAAAACATATTACTATGTTGATCAAATTTAACCCTTTTCAATTTAATGACAACTTTATGTTCTGAAATCATTTTACCATAACCTTGCAGTATTAAGATATATTATATATATATTAGAAATTACTGGTTTCTTTGTAAAACTGTCTTTAGAACCGAAAACAGGGGACTCATAATCTTTTCAATATCATTTCATGCTACAATATTTTTAAGGTAAATAATAGTTTATGAATTATATATATTACAGTGGCCAAACCTGAAGTTTTAAAAATAGTGTTTTTCAATTGAATTGTTTCATATTTTTCATGTCGGGGCCTTTTATAGCCGACCATACGGTATGGGTTTTTCTCATTGTTGAAGGCCGTACGGTTGCCTATAATTGCTTACATCCAATTCATTTAAACTTTGGTGGATAGTTGTCTCATTGGCAATCATACCATATCTCCTTATTTTTATATAAAAAAAAACAAATGGACAGAAGTTATAAATTCAATAAAATGCAATATACCACAAATACTCTTCTAAGAGATGCCTGGGACCAGCCAAGCTCCCCCCCCCCCCCCCCCCCCCGAACAAAAACCACTTAATCCGACCCTGTACTATTTCCTATTGACAAAAAAATTGAATTGAATGGAATATATATAATAAACAATGAAATAAATAATCTATAAGCTTTAATATGATCCTTTTGAAATGATAATATGAAAAATGTGTATACAATAGCGTACACGTCGTGTATTTATTTCATGTCTTTCTCAGAGTTCCGTAGATTTACATTGGTAATTTTAATATCTAGATAGAGATTCGTATTTTTCATTTTTCAAAGCACTGCTAACTGATGGAAAGGAAGCTATCATGTTGTTTTATTGTTGTGTGACCAAGTATAGCATACGCTTGATCATACTCCTCATCACAGTAGTAGCATTTGAAAATTGCTTTTTTTCATACTTAGAACGATAAAACAATTTATCATCAAGACAAATAGTAAATAAACTCATCATAGATACCAGGATTGAAATTTTGTATTTGCGCCAGCCGCGCGTTTCGTCTACAAAAGACTCATCAGTGACGCTCGAATCAAAAAAAGTTAAAAAGGCCAAATAAAGTACGAAGTTGAAAAGCATTGAGGACCAAAGTTTCCTAAAAGTTTTGCCAAATACAGCTAAGGTAATCTATTCCTGAGGTAGAAAAGCCTTAGTATTTCAAAAATGTAAAGTTTTGTAAACAGTTAATTTATAATTATGTCCATATCAATGATAAGTCATGTCAACACAGAAGTGCTGACTACTGGGCTGGTGATACCCTCGGGGAATAAAAACTCCACCAACAGTGGCATCGACCCAGTGGTTGTAAATAAACTCATTAAAGATACCAGGATTGAAATTATGTATTTGCACCAGACGCGCGTAAATGAAACATCTAGGATGTATTTTCTGTTAAAAAAAATACACATACCCGCTTAACACACACAAAGTATGTACGTCTCAATCCAACATTGTACTGCTTGATACTTTAGTCTTGGAAACTTGATTTACTTATTAGTTGTAACTGGCTTTGAACTAGCTTTCAGTAACCGCGAGTACTCTTATATCGATACCTTGTATCTATTGTTTTTATGCCAGTTTGTTTGTCTGTGCTTCGTACCGATCTATTGATGAAAGCCATTTGCAACTGATTTTTACAGTTTGTTCTTATTTTATGCTGTAACACCACTGTCCAAAATTATGAGGAGGGTTGAGGGCTTACAAAAATGTTTAACCCCGCCACAATATTTATATGCCTGTCCGAAGTCAAGAGTCTGTAATTCAGTGGTTGTCGTTGGTTCATGTCCGTCATATTTGTTTTTTTCGTACTTTGTAGTGTATAACTTAGGTCGTTAGCTTTCTCGTTTTAATTGTTTCAATTTTTTTCATGTTGGGGTCTGATAAAGCTGACTATAAGGTATAGGGTTTTCTTATTGTTGAAGGCCGTACGGTGACCTATATCTACTTTTATCTTCGTCATTTGAAGTCTTGTTGATAGTTGACTCATTGCATGGCATTCACGCCACATTTCCTTTTCTTTATATATATGTTTACAGCACGAATATTTACTGTATGATATCCATATTTGGTTGAGTCGACATCGATATCCGTATGTTTGGATCGATACAACATGTGTACATGGACGTTGACTTATTGGATAGTTCCACCATATGTACATGGGCGTGAACATATTTGATATATTCAAAGATACCAATGCCGGTGTCCATGCAATTTATAAGATATGGAAAACAATAATATATACAAATATACAAAGTCTGTTTGTTTTTACATTTGTGATCATATTCACTCGAAAAAACGTGGTCACACTCGTAAAAACACGATTCCAGCCGGACGCTATACTTACTGTACATGTGTTATTCGTTAATGTTTCAAATTGGGGCGTTCTGTGCATTTCCACAGTCAAACGGATCAAGATGCGTATATGTTGTTATACTACAAAATAGGTGCTATTCAGCATGGGTAACCGTCCAGCTTTTAAAATCAATGTTCCTTCAACATTTATAGCTTTTAAAAAAGATATGGAGTAACATACATAGACTTAAAAAGATATGGAGTTGCATAAATAGACTATTATTAGTATTTCTCAAAAGAAAATGTTCGTTTTTTCCCTGAACTAAAATATCAGACTCTTTTTTTGCCGCACTTCCGTAACATCATTTACATTACAAGTCAGCTCCCAGTCATTGAAGAACCTTGCCAATGAACAAACAATTACAATGGGTAGGTGTCTGACTACTAATTCAATGTTTTATTCAAAATGGTTTCTTTTTCTATTTTTTTTTTAGAAATCGACTCATCCCCTGATGGGATTAAATTAAGAAAGAAGATTTTAACTGTAATCAAAAGGTACGTATTTCTTTTACATTTTCATTACGTCTAGCGTGTATCAATCACGGTATTGTGGCACACTCGTTAACCAACTGGACAGTAAGGCACGAGGCCAGAACAAAATTGAGAGTTATTAATATTATTACGCTAAGGAATATCAGCTGGAACACAGGAACGTTCAGGACTTTTCAATGTAATAATGTGTAAAAACACAACTTATTATATTTGTTTATTTTTTTTAACTTCGTATGTTAATGCGTTAGACCCCCACATATAGTTTTGTCCTGTCCGCTTGTCTAGCGTCTGTCACCTTTTTCTTTACAAAAAAATCTACTATATGTTTACATAATAATAGAAAGAAACAGACATAATAGCATGACACAATGTTAGTATACATCTCAATATGTGTTTGTTCTGGTTGAGTTTGATGGTTTCTGACAGGTTAATGCGCTGTGTCTATAGGCAACATGTAGCTGATATGGGTCGAGGGCTGATACCAGGGCCAATATGGAAAATGCAATGTAATAATTTATTTATCACATATTTTCAAACCATCTTGTTTAATTTTTTTTTTGATTGACAGGTTTACCGGAAGTTAAATTCGGGGGCTCAATATGGGTATTTAAGGGCAAATATCGATATTGCCGGGCACCGAGGACAAATAACCGACTCCGACTTCCGGCTATTATTGGACATGCAAAAACGTACATATTAGTACAAAATATGTGATAATTATTATTAGTTACATAGTGTGCTAGTGACCTAATACAATATATATGGGGTCAGTAAATTCCATATGGAGTGAGAGCGATATATATGGGGTCAGTAAATTCCATTTGGGTGAGAGCGAAGCTCTAATCCTCATATGGAATTTACTTACCCCGTATATATCGTATTAGTTCACTAGCACACTGTGCAACGAATTTATCTTACCGACTATCTTAACATGTGTTATTTAGGCTAGTGGCCTTTCAAAGGGATCTAGTCTTCAATACTTAGTATTAAGAACCTACTTCCATTGGTCTATACAAAAAAAATGCCAACAATAACAACTTGTTAGTTTTAAATGTATTTTGTGAATTTATTTCAATCGTTCATCATCAATTTCGTCGTCTGTTGAAACCTTTCAGATTCTTCCTCAACACCGTGTTGTCAGTTTTACAAAGGGACGTAACACCACTACTAACCGTGTATTGAAATAAACCCCGCCTACTAACCTCATATGAAATATACACGGTATCCACGCGGTTGCTTTTAACCAATCATATTCCTAGAAATGTATAGGAGGTAAGATAAAGATTATAACATGTCATTTCCCATATCGGCCTTATTTTTGCCGCTTTGTGACCTTTTTCAACTGATTTGTACAGTTTGTTTAATGTTGTGCTGTAACACAGGAGAAGGTTGAGCGTTAAAGTCAGTTTTCCAGGTCTTCATTCCAAAGAAAGGTTTGCTAGGTTACAACAAAAGGGGACAATTACAATATTATCATATTGCCCTGAAAATAAGTACGAGTCTTGTGCATTGTATGTGAAAATATGTTTAAATTCTTTCCAAGTGCTTACAAATTAATTATATATTTTCTTGATATGACAATGCACTTTTCTCCTTAGCAATAGAAATAATTCTAGACAACAGACTTATGTTTTTTTTTTTTTTTTTTTTTTTTTTTTTTTATAATTCATCTATCTATTCCGCAAACTCGGACCCCTTTTTACATCCACAAATATAATGAAAATTTGAATTTAACTTTCAACAGGAAATTTAGGAGAAGTTATAGTCAGTTAGTCTTTTCTGAACCGTTTGTTAAACTTTTACCGCATTTGGCGTGATAATGCTCTATGGAGTGAAGAAAGCCTCTACTGATATAAAATGTGCTATGTTTAAAGTAACACCACAGCGATTGCTAGACTGAAATTTGGGGAAAGCATTTGGTTACTGTGTTATATCTTTTGAAACATTAGTCCAATATTCTCTGAACTTAGCTTCATAAGTATACTCATTGGAGTAACACGTCGGGTGTTGCATGTTGAGCAGGATCTGCTCACCCTTCCGCAGCACTTGAGATCACCCCTCTTTTTTAGTGGGGTTCGTGTTGCCCAGTATTTAGTTTTCAATGTTTTGTTTTTGTACTGTTGTTTATCTTTTGGTCTTTTTTGCCGTAGATTTGTCAGTTCGTTTTCGACTTATGAGTTTGATTATACCTTTTGTATCTTTCGTCTCTCTTTTGCTACTCATGCTTATTTTTTCGGTGGCTTCAACGCAGGAAAATTTATTTTCGTTTTTATGCACAACTGTTTCCTGTATTTTGTGTGGCAGACTATTCATTATTATTTGGACTTTAATTGAGTTTAATAATTTGCAACTCTTACAAGATGAAAATAAGGAGATGTGGTATGATTGCCAATGAGGCAAATGTCAATTAACTTTTATCAAGTGAAATATTAAAGGTTTGGTATGTTTACCTTTTTTAAATGTTTAGACCATTTCATTATATGTGACCAGCCATGAGATTTTGGGTCCAAATGAGGTCCATGGTGCAAAATGAGATATTTTTATGCAATAAGTACCTATGTATATAAGAGAAACAAATCTGCAAAGTTTCAGAGTGATATGGACTGTAGTTTTTAAGAAACGGTCTTTTGTAATGTTCCATCTCAAAAGTGAAAATTTACAATTTTGCACTTGTTTCTGGTATTTGGTGAAAATTATAAAAAAATAAACTGCTTCGCTGAGCGCAGCTGGATACGCCCGCAGAGGTCTAACCCTGAACAGTTGGGGCAAAAATGGACACAATATTCAAGCTTGATACAGGTCTGAATTTGGATTGTAATTAAATATTTGACATACATCTATCATAGGTTTCTGAATAAATGTAGTCAAAGAACTTGAAGTTGGTTATATGAATTGAATTTATATTCAATTAAAGATTTCTTGCTGTTGTGCAATACACTGTGCTGTTGCGCAATACTTATTAAATCTGTTGTCAGACTATAAACAAATAAAATTTATAAAATTCTAAAGGGAGCTTACATCAATAGATATAAACAGTTCACCAAAGTTTCATACGAATTGCTGAAAGCATTTTTGAGTTTTTGTCTGAAAACTGGAAAATCCCCCCTTTTTTAATGAATAAACCCCATAATTCAGAAATGTAAAATCTAAAATTTATAAAATTCTAAAGGGAGCTTACATCAATAGATATCAACGTTTCATCAAAGTTTCATGAGAACTGCTGAAAGCATTTTTGAGTTATTGTCCCAAAACTGGAAAATCCCCCTTTTTTTATGAATAAAACCCCACAACTCGGAAACGTAAAATCTAAAATTTATAAAAATCCAAAGGGAGCTCATGTCAATAGATATAAACAATTAACCAAAATTTCTTGCAAGTTGGTGAAAGCATTCTCGAGTTATTGTCCGAAAACTGGAAAATCCCCTTTTTTTTAATGAATAAAACCCCATAACTCGGAAACGTAAAATCTAAAATTTATAAAAAACGAAAGGGAGCTCATGTCAATAGATATAAACAATTCACCAAAGTTTTAAGCAAATTGGTTAAAGCGTTTTTGAGTTAATGTCCGACATGTTGACGACGGACGGACGGACAGACGGACGGACAGACGGACGGACAGACGGACAGACGGACGTAGAACGGTATACCATAATACGTCCCGTAAACGGGCGTATAAAAACGAATACAACTGTGTTTGTTTCTTTCTTCTGTCCAGCTGATTTAGAACAGTGGCCTATTACATGTCAGTTTGTGTATATCAATAATCTATATATCTAGGTTAAACAATTTGGCATGTTGCCATAGTAACCATTATCCTTGATAGTTGTTACCGATATGTTATATTTCATTTTTTGGAGAAGTTGCAGTTATTTGCTAGATAAACTATAAAGAAATTATTTGATATATATATATATATATATATTTAATAATCATCATAGTTTATTGTTAAAGCAAAGCTGGGAATGTAATTTTCCCATTTTTTTTTTTTTTTATTTACAATGTCCAGTTAATTTACAGTGTCAACATTTCCTTTTTTTGTCATTTTCAATTGCTGAATCAAGCAAATTCATTTCTGGTGTGGGCACTCTAGGCAATGGGCAAGATTCTTTATTTTTGTGTGACCAACTTCCATCATTGAAAACTGAACTGAATTGTGTGTTTATCACAGTTCTCCATAGTCCATACTTTTAAAAGAAAGAAAAATATATGTAATCATAATTGATATGCACGAACATAAAGGAAAAATCAATATGAAATAGAATAAAATAGTAGCATTTGACTCACCGCCTTAATACACAAGACAGAATTGCACAGTAAACAATGTTTGTTTAATCGTTCTTTGTGTTTGTGTTTTTGTTTTTTTTTTAATTCAGTCCACCCCAGGAGTTGTTATGCGTGAATATTGAACAATTCATTAACAGAAATGCCCACACATATGCTTGCGAGTCACATTATGAGAACGTGATGGGGGATAAGACATATAAAGCGCACGAAAAATAAAGGACGTATAGTGAGATTAATTTTGTTTTCCCTTATAAAAATTAGTCAACATACATAAAAAAAGTTAATGTGTACCATTATCATTAGTTCAGATCCTAAAGTATATTTTTAATTTATTTTTAGTTAAATCTCTGCATCACCGTGTATTAAATGTTTTTTCAAGGCTACTTCCATAAATAGGAATAAAATTGAATAAAACGATTTTATTCTACACAAATTTGTTTTAATCATAGTTTGAGGTTATTTTTAGCTAACTCATCAGATATAAGGGAGATCAAAGAAGAAGGTATGATATGAGATCAAATTGGATCAAACATTATTTGTATTTAAAACTGTCCATGATTGGAAAAATTAAACGTTGATTATATATATACTAGTACAAAAAACATTGCAGTTTAAGTTTTAGATATAATCTTTCCATGGATGTTACAGTTATAAAATGAGAGATTTAGTAAAATGACAAAATTTTGACAAAACTCTTGACTGTTTGACTCCAATATGGC